TCCTGCTCTCTCTGCACCCTCCCTTTTCATGTTATGGGAAACAGCCCTTTCCATTTTCCAGGAACAACAAAACCCTGACATTTGTTTAAGTTATGATAAGAGGAAGCTGCATACAAAATTTGGTGGTCCTAGCTCTTACAGTTTAGGAGGAGTTCATGAACAGATACACACTCTAAAGTCTAAAAGATAGCTCGATAGATATGAGTCACTGTAGGAGCGGCACCTCATTTTCCGGGAATAGTGCTAACCTTATCAAAGCAGGAATTACATGATTTGTCTGCAGTGGCTTGCTTTAGTGCATTAAATAATCCCTTTTGTTGCACAGAGTTCTTAAAAAAAAACAGCATTTCTCCATAATATGTTTTCTTAGTGAAATTTATAAATCTGTGCTATGTTACACAGCCCCTGACCAGTCAAAGACGACAAATTCCCAAATCTCAGCCACATTTCTTTATTTTGTTCCATTTCCTAGAAGCCACAGTCATACATGTTCATGTGTCTCATGGAATAGGTAGGTGTATTCTTCCGAAGCCCAAACTCACAAATCGCAGTTCTGCAGATTGGTAAACTTGGACAAGAAAGGCTTATGCTGCTACGAAGCATCCCATTTAAGCATTGATTAGAGTCTTTCAAAAGTAACTCAAAATCTTTGGAGCAACAAATGTTACTTCTAGTACTACTACCCACAATTCCCATGCTCTTGGACAAAAAAATGAATTAAAAGGGCTTGAAAAGACCTCAGTAGGTCAGTGAGTCCAGTCCCCCGCCCAAAGCAGGACCAACCCCAAATAAATCAACCCAGCCAGGGCTTTGTCAAGCGGAGATTTAAAAACCTCTAGGGATGGAAAAAAGAGGCTCACGTGAGACAGATATGGCTGGATTAAGTTACCTGTCCTTTCATGACAACACAGTCTTCTTGCCTATTGTTTGCATGGGTTGGTTCTCCACGTAGCCACCTGGTGTATGTCACAGGAGTTCCATCACTCCATTCAAAATACATCTGAACCTTAAGGTCATTCAGTCCAATCCACAGCTCATCCGTTGGCTCTGAAAATCAAATTAGCAGATTTGCTAATGAATATTTTATAACAGTATGAATTTTCAGTCCCATCATGGAGTAAAGAATTTATGCTCAGAAAAGTTAAGAACAGCTTCATGAACTAAGTCTCTTCTTCATAAACAACGCTGGCTATTCCTCATGTGTATACCCCTTGTTATCGGAAAAAGTCTATCCTCATAGTGGGAAGCTAACCTGACTACAATACCTGGGTCTCAGATTTCCTCCTAAATGCCAATTTACCTAAATTGGATTATTATTACAAATACAATTATTTGTAGCTCGGTTTTCTAGAATTTTTGTAAATTGCTGTCATGTAAATAGAATTTTTGTAAATTACTGTAATCTAAATAAAATACAGGACTATGTAGCACTTTAAAGACTAACAAGATGGTTTATTAGATGATGAGCTTTCGTGGGCCAGACCCACTTCCTCAGATCAAATAGTGGAAGAAAATAGTCACAACCATATATACCAAAGGATACAATTTAAAAAAATGAACACATATGAAAAGGACAAATCAAATTTCAGAACCGAAGGAGGATACAGGGGGGAACATATGAAAAGTCTCTGTAATCTAAATAGACTTTCATGAATTTTTAAAAATGACCCTTACAAAAAAAAGGACGTACTTTATGTTGCTATTCTTCAGTACAAACAATGAGCAGCGAAGAACTGTCCTTGTTCTTGTTTTTAAAATGTATGCTTTACCTGGAGAGCTGATAATCAAAATATTTGTGACTTTTTCCAACATACTGAAGGTGTCATTCCTGTTCTTCACTGTACTTTATTTCTACTCCAACTCCGGGAGCTGTTTGAATTTTGCCCCTCTTCATATCTCTCCATACCGAACAAAGCTATTTGCCTTCATTTCACAACACATTCATAACTTAGCCCACCTCTATCATCTTCTGTATGGTATAAAACTATCGACCGCTGTCTTCACTCTATCAGAGGGGTATCTGTGTTAGTCTGAATCTGCAAAAGCAGCGAGGAGTCCTGTACTGACAAAGTGGGTCTTTGCCCACGAAAGCTTATGCTCCAACACTTTGGTTGGTCTATAAGGTGTCACAGGACTCCTCGCCACTTTTGTCTTCATTCTATCACCCATCAGTCCATTTTCCCCACAAATACCTTTATGCTTTTCCTATGCTTCCCTTTGTGTGTGGGAAACAGCTATAAAAATCACAAGCCACCCGGTTGTTCTCCTCCAGACTTCTCCTATAACTCACCTCAACCATGATGCCTATAAAAGACAAGACAATGGCTAGACATCTGATGTGCTATGTGACCATGCTTAATACACTCATCATAAATCTCTTACTGGTACCTTTTGCTCCCCCTGTCCGTTATGTCCATTTGATATGACCTGTTCTATACATAAACTGTAAGCTCTCTATGACCATGATGGCCTTTTCATTTTGTGTATGTGTGCACAGTACTTAGAATAATAAGAATATAAGAACAGCCATACTGGGTCAGACTCAAGGTCCATGTAGCCTAGTATCCTGTCTTCCAACACTGGCCAATGCAGGTTCCACATAGGGAGTGAACAGAACAAGCAGCCATCAAGTAACCCCTCTCTTGTCACCCATTCCCAACTTCTGGATAACACTACAATCACCTTATCTCACACAGTCTTAGGCAAATCTCCCCTAATCAATTCCCCAACATTGCAGGGGCCTCAGATATTGGTACTGCCTTTATCTGTGCTGTTCTGTCTCTGTGGCAAATAGTTTAGTCTCCATTTGTACTAACTGAAATCCATTTGTACTAACTGGATGAAAATGAATAGCTTATGATACACAGGAAGTCAGACAAAATAATCCAGTGGTTCCTCCTCGCTTTGAACTCTATGAAAATGTGAACCAAAATAAATAATAATGATGAACAATAGGGCTAAATCTAACCACATTAGACTTATTAAAGACCAGATGGCACAAAGTCATTCTGGAAACAAATTTCATAATGAACATAACTGCAAGGTTTCATTATCAGTGTAATTCACTTCAGTTTTTATTCAGAAGGAAAATGCCAAGATAAATAACCATCTGATATTACAATTGTTTTCTATTGTTTTGTTCTTAAAATTTCTCACTTCATTGTGTCATTCCCATGACTTTTACACTGAGTTGCATTTCAAAAAATATTTCTAGGTGGATTTCAATGATGAAATACTAGGATGCATTTAGCCATTGGGCTAATCAATCAGTGTCAACGGATTTTCTGTATTAGTACAGGTTCTACTGATCTAATATGGCTTTGTTCCATCAATTCATTGAAATATTAAAACAAATAAGCACTTCAGTTACACTGAAAGTGACACAGTAACATAGCCTGCAGTAAACATGGACCTTTGGAGAGGAAATGGCCACTGTATTAAATTTGTTTCTTCTGATACATCTTCACTGCTAAGAATTGCCATAGATCTTGAGTTATCTGTCACCAACCCGATATTGGAGGCAGCAGATATTTGCTCTGCTTGAAACACTAAGGAAAGGATACTACTGCCAGGCTGTGCACATTGTCTTGCTCTGCATTCACAGTCATTCTGAGCAGAATGTAGACACTTTGGCTATCACAGCATATTTCCCTTTTCCCTGTTAAGCCCTTGCCATTGTCAGACTAAAACGGTGCAGAGTCAAAACATCTTTGCTTCAAAGTTAGCCTATCTAACCCTCAGGAAACAATACCCACTTGGAAGCCATTTACCATGCAGGAAAACATTCGTAAATTCCATGGCCACAGCAACGAACAACAATGTGCCATCTACACAATCTATTTGGGAAGCTGGAATTCAAAAAGGCAGTTTTTTTGTGTGGCTTTATAACCATGGAGGTAATTTAATATTTAATACAAATGCACAAGTACAGAGTTTCAAAATCTTTTTCTTCGCTGTTCTCCAAAAAGCCCAAGACATTCTTTTGCTACAAAATATTTTTACTATGCAAAAAACTGGCAGCATTGACCTTTGGGGAAATATTACTTTGGGTAAATTTCACTTAACTTTCAATTTAAAAGTGGAAAAATTTTGCCTCTCTCCAAATTTGTTAAGGAAATTTGCAACCATCTAGAAATTCAAAGGTGAAAATTCACAAAGGAAAATGTATGTGCGTCTCACAGCTTTGCAACTTTGTGATGTTTGTTTGGCATCAAGTGACATATAATTAATGCTGTGATATTCAATGGCTGTTCCCATCTGCAAGGAGGCCTGCAGAATAATATTTAGGTTAGCCCATACCTCTGGTCTATGGAAAACACATATTTGACTCCAGAATATGGCTGATTCAATAACAAAACAAAGAAGGTGGGTAGTTCTCAAATGCTGTTGACTTAACTTGAACTAATTATGACTAAATTAAGTTTGAACCCTTCTTGTATTTGGTTGTCTGCATCACATTACATCATATTTAACCCAACATTAACTTTTAGATCAGGGGGTAGGGACCCTAAGGTCCAGGGGCTGGATGCAGCCCCTAGGTTCCCTGGATCTGGCCCCCAAGGCTTAGGGCATCTCCCAGCATTGGGGAGCCCACTCTGGCACTCCAGCCTTTGCCCCGCACCCCAGCCACAGCTCCCGGCCCCAAGTGATATTTCTGTGGGTCAGCAGCCCCCAACCCAAAAAAAAGTTTCCAACCCCCGTTTTAGATTAACATAACTTATGTTTAAGAGCTAATAATTTCTTTACTATTGAATGGATAAATTAAGCTTATAAATTCAATGAAAAAAGCAAGAAGGCAACATAGCCAATTATCTCTGTCTTCGTCTCTTTTGAAGAGTTAGCCTAGTGATATTACTATTAAGGCGCTAACAGAGGACAGCACAGATTTATGATCCCAGGCTGAAATTTTCCAATGGAAAAGATTCTTTTTGTTGGTAAATGCTGATTTAACAAAGTCTAAGAATTTATCAGGAATATATCAGTTTCATCTGCATCAAAGATGAAAATGAGCCCCTTTTTTCTATCTTTCTTTAGATCTAAATACAAGTCACACTTCCTTAAGAAGATCTAATCCCCACAATGGGAGGCACGACACACACACACACACACACTTAAAAGGAAGATCGAACATCTTTCACAGTTCAGAGGAACATCTCCCAGGAGCGACAGGAGAAAAATCAAATGATTCTGTTTAGATTTCCAAGGTAGCTATCTAAATACTATTGTAACAGGTGCATTTGAAGTGCCATTCACAGATAAAACATCCCTAATTTACAAATGACAAAATGGAGGCAGAGAAAGATTAAATAATGTCCTCCAAGACGCACAGTGAACACATGGTAGATCTGGTAATAGACTCCACTTCGTCTGACTCCCAGTCCTGTGTATTAAACAACAGGCATTGCTTCCTTTCACCTACCCCATCCAATGTTCCCTCTATTTTTTACTATCCATGTACAGAATACATTTAGGGTGTAACTAGGCATGTGCAGATGTGCACCACCAGTAGAAACACATGCTGCTGGCTGTGGGTGAGCTGTTGATCAGCTGGGTGGCACCTGAATCCCTCCTGGATGGCTGCCCAAGCACTCAGTTGACAGAGAACACTGTGTATTGATGGTTAAGATCTGATTCTCTGACAAGATGGAATCTATTTGCATCAAGTCTGGGTGAAGGGAAGATGGTAGGAAGGCTCTGGGGTATACGATATTGAGTCTGATACAATTAACTATACATTACAAACAATGTCACAGCTTCTGAACTAAAATGTTATTATTCATAGCAATTGGACTTTTATGTTTTGCTTCCCACATTTTGAGATTTAACTTAGACAACTTTTTACCTCTTTGTGTATAGGATAAATTTCGGATAGATTCTTTTTCTTTTATTACCCAGTAAAAGCAAACATTTGGGGCAAAGATTCTGCTCTCAGTAACACCAGCCTAAACTCTATTATCCCGCCCCCACTGACTTCTCAGTTTCCCTCAAATACACATAGCAAGTAAATGAGAGCAGAATGCAAACTGTTTACATCCAGGTCCCCCAGAAAGGACCTTATCACGGCCACCCCTTGAAGGTGAGCAATAAGGAAAGAGGGTTAGCTCCCGGCTGCGCCAGTCATAGGAGTCTGGAACACCACACGACGTTTTGTTCCTGTAACCAACGTCTCCTCTTTAAGTCCTTTACCAAACCATTTATCTGATCATTGCATGGGCAGTGCATGACTCCTCCACCTGGACTGTGGCCCTGTCCTGAAGCTCTCTCCCGCTCGGACACTTTTCCTGGGGCCCACCCTCACTCCACCCCTGGCCCACTCAGCACCATCCCTTGAGACTGTCCCTGACCCTTTCGCCCCTCCCACAGGCTGCCACCTGGCCACTTATTTTTGTGCCTCTTCATCCCTCCCACAGGCCCCCATGTGAGCAGAGCAGGGAAGAGAAAAGGCAGAGGGAGGGTGGAGCCTCAGCCTCTTTCCCATCCCCTGCCCATAAAGTGCTGTATACATCACCCAGCAAGCTAGCCAAACAATGCCCTCCCCATTATACTTAAGGTGTTGTGCCATTATTCGTTGGCAACAAGGCATCAGACACATGTGGAAAGTCCCATCATTCTGAAAGATTCTGCTGCTTTCATTAGACTTCCCTCTTTTACAAACCAGGAATTTCTCTGATACACATCGATTCTTTCAAACTGTTGGAAGTTCTGAAAAGCCCCCACGTCCCTGTCAGGAAAGCACTAAAGCACATACTTAAACTTTGAACATGTTTAAGTCCCAGTGTAACTGAACATGTTTCAATCCCCATGTATTTGGGGCATTACAAAACGATTGTTCATTTTCATATATATATAGACACACACACACAGACACAGAGAGAGACAGACAGACAGACAGACACACAAGGCCCTGTAGAAATACTCACTGTACCCAAGCTGAGAGACAATGAAGCTGTACTCTTCAACATTATGGATACTCGCCAGATCACCATCTTCCTTTCTACATGAAGTTAAAGCATCCTTCCATATTTTAGTGTCTCTTTGAAGTATATAACAATGACCGGCATATGACATCCATTGAGCAGGGCATTTAATAGGCACATTAGTCTCTGCAGAGAAAATTACAATGAAAGATTTCAGACCAGTAAAAAAAAGGGAGAGAAAACTACATAACATCCACCACCTTTTCCTTTGTTCTTTTTGGAGATAGCAAGTCTGTCTGAGATTGCATGCTGAATTCACCATAGAAAAATAAAGCACATTCAAATAAGACACAACACATTTAAAAATGTGAAGTTTAATTAAATATGCATTCAAAAGACTATGTTAAGAGATTTCTAAGGTTGTAAAGTCAAACACTGAAAAGTTAGACAGTGACAGTATTAAGGGGTCTGGTATAGCTTTAATTCAACCCCTTTGTGCCTATGTATTATAATACAAACCTAAATAATCTGACTCCTCAGCCCTCTTCCTCTCCCATTTCTCATCCCTCTGCATTCAGATCAAAATTCTTCCAGTACCTCCATGTTCTGTGTCTGGGCACCAGGAGGGGGACATCTGTCAGCACACAACAGGAAGTTTCTCTTCCCTGATCCTGTGCCCAACACCACTGCAGCTCCAGATAGCCAGGAGGAGCAACAGTTCTCAAAGTCCTCCTCAGCCCCTGCAGCTGGAGTGTGCTCAATGACTCTATGAGGACTGTTCACACATAGTTTGATTAGCACACAGATGCTGCATCAGGAGGGATCAGGCACAATGCAGAGGGACTGAGTCTTGCAAGGGTTTCACTGCTGAAGTTTCTACTAAGCATGTGTGAACTCAATTTTTTTTGTTTAGTGACTCATAATTTGGTCAAATTTTCATAAGAGAAGCAAAAGGCACATCTTGTGACAATAAACTAAACTGCTTGCTAAATGTCAGACCCTGGCTTCCACAGAATGGGGATGCTATCACTTCTGGATTAGAAGATTACTATTAAGTGTGTTAAAACCACCACATTTCCTTCTCACCTCATTTTGAGAAATGGGCTGGACCATTTTACCAGAAACATCATAAAAGAAATCAGCCTGAAGCAGACACATGGCATGGAAAATTTCCAGGGAAATGGTTTAAGTTTGGTGAAGTATAAGCAACTGAAAATAAGGTATTACAATGGAAAGTGTTGAGCAACCATAATAGATGGGAAAAGAGCCCTTACAATTTAAACATATAGACATTGTAAAATTTCATACGGGGCAGAGGGTTTCTTTTTCAAAATATTAAAAATAAAATGTCGTGAATATTGTGAAGCTAATGTATATCATATAACAGAAATTCCTGAAAGAAGTAACATACTGAAGCATTAAGAGTCACCTCACCTCTGAGAAGCATTTATTTCACAAAGGGCTGATCCTGCAAATACATGTGAATAGCTTCAGTCCCAAACACAAGCATTTAATAAAGAAGCCCGTGCTTTCTGAGAATCATCAAATCATGGAATACTAGAACTGGAAAGAACCTCGAGAAGTCCTCTGCCCTCACAGCAGGACCCAGCACCATCTAGATCATCCCTGACAGATGTCTATCTAACCTGTTCTTAAATTTCTCCAATTATGGAGAGTCCACAACCTCCCTAGGCAATGTAATCCAGTGCTAAACAACCCCAGCAGTTAGCAAGTTTTTCCTAATGTCCAACTTAAACCTTCCTTGCTGCAATTTCTTCTTGTTCTATCATCAGATGTTAAGCAAAATAATTTTTCTCCCTCCTCTGGTAACAGCCTTTTAGGAACTTGAAAGCTGTTATAATGTCCCCTCTCAGTCTTCTCTTTCCCAAACTAAAAAACCCAATTCTTTCATTCTTCCTCATAAGGTCATGTTTTCTAGACCTTTAATCATTTGTGTTGCTCTTCTCTGGACCTTTCTCCAATTTTGTCTCCTGATGCAAAAGAGACAGGATAGTTGGCTCTCGTGCATCAGGAGCAAAAAACAACAATAGTAGTTGTGCCCTTCCTCCTCCTTTATTAAAGAAAATTAGACCTGCAACAAAAAGTGTGTATAAGTTGATTACATGAGACTGCACTAGGGTATCATCAGCAATCACCATGCTGATTTTTAAACCCCTTTATACAATTTCAGCATTAGCAGCCTACTCCATTAAAGGTTGGGATACCTGCTGGACAGAAATTATAAAGTATATATGAGCACTGTAAGCAGCATTATGTGAACTAGAACAAAAATTAGCGCACAATTGCAATTACAGTACACACATATTTATAACAAAACTGCTCAATGAGCATGCGGCCTTGGCATATGATATTAAAAATTTGTCAGGAGATCACTGCATGAATAATGGTCTGTCTCTGAAAAAAATCTAGTCCTGCATGCATGTCCATCATGATACAAATGCTTTCTCTACAAATGTTTTGAAGCCCTCAGACTTTGCCACACCAATTATTTTAATAGATTGTGGTGGTTCTTTAGTGGAAAAATAGAATTTTGCATCATTAGACCAACGTATTCCTGAAGTTAATAAAAATCCTTCTCTTCTACACAAGTAAAGGGCAACACGCATACTACAAAGAGTTTGGCTAGTTTGCACTACAACCATTTGAATTGTATTTAGCAATAGACTAGAGCCACTGACAGAATGGGGCACAGAGGGCAGCTGACCTGAGACCTGCTGATTTAAAAGTGCCTGGGGCTGCTAGCCGCCTCTACCTCAGCAACTGCAGGAGCTGGAGTCCCTGGCCCTTAAAATTGCTGCCAGAGCCCTGTGTGATGCATACCCAGGGCAGGGAAGGACTGGCTGCGAGATGCTAGAACCCAGCCCTGCTCCTTCCACCTGATGCCCGCTTCAGGGAGGCTTGAGTCATTCCCTCCACCAGGGGCCTGGCAAGTCTGTCCTCAGTCCTGTTGTAGACTGTCATGTAATGAGCACTCTGCTCTCTCATAACCCTTGTACACAGCCTTGCTGGATGCAACCCATAATCTCCAGGGTTGAATTTAACCACCAAGCTAAATGTCAAACATGTGCTTGAGTGCGCTGCTGGATTGGGACCTAAGCCACTTTTTTCATTCCTTCTCTGGAGGCTGGACAGGAAGTTGAATATGTACAGCACCTTGTAAGATCACATCCTGCTTCTTTCCATGACTCTTCCTCCCACTGGACATGTAGTAAATTGTTTTACTGCATGCATCTCTATGGTGCACTGTAGTGGGGTGGTCACCCTGCTCTCATGAGATAAGGGAGAGGTCTGGGACTATGGAGCAAGTGGTTGAGGTAGGTAGCAGCCAATCAAGGCCAAGATGGGGCATTATAAATAGGGGCTGCTAAGCTCAGGCACACAATCTTGCTCCAACTGTGGAGTATGAAGGACCTGGCTGCCTGGTAAGTTAGAGAGAGTAAATGAGACAGAGTAGTGCTAGGGAAAGGCAGACAGAGCTCTGGAGTTCTAGCCTGACCCAACTCCCAGGCTACGTGGCCAGGGCAGAAGCAGAGGCGCAGCAAGGGTGTTATGCGCAACAAAGGCAAAAGCAAAATGTGTGCCTCCCTCCCCGCCGCCACGCGGCAGGGCCCCAAACCTGATGCACAGCTGAGCCTGACCCTCGGAGGAGGGAGGGAACTTGCACCATGTCTTCCCTCACCCCCTCCAGTTTGGGGTGGGCCCCCGCACACACTATCCTGCTGTCGAAGATGGAGGAGGGTCAGGCTGGGGACAGAGAGATGGGGAGGAGGCTCCAGCTAGTGGTGATGGGTGTAGGAGAAGCGGCAAGCTGAGGGATGACAGGGGGAGTGGAGGGGAACTAAATTAGTGCTCCCCCACTGTGGTGCCCGGGGGCAACTCCCCCCCACACACACACACACACTCCCTTTGCTATGTCAGTGAATGTAAGAGATTAACTTACCTGTTAAAATAATACTCAGAAAAACTTAAATTAGGCAGTAGAATAGTAATAACAGTTTAGGTCCCAATTCAGAAAAGCAATAAAGCACATGCTTAAATTTTGAATGTGTTTAAGTCCCACTAATTTCCATGGAATTTAAGTACATTCTTAAGTTTGTTAGGCCTTGTCTACCCTGAATACTCACATCGACTTAGCTATATTTCTCATGGTGCAAGAGACATCCCAGCGAGATGTAGTAAAGCCAACTTAAACTGCAGTACAGACACCATTCCCTTAAAGGAACAGCAATGTGCCTTGCAACACGGTTTAAGAAACGCTGCTATAGTAGTGGCATAGCTGCAGCTGTTGCCATGTTTGTCATGTAGCTATAAACTTAGTGATGGAGCATTTAAGGAAGCATAATTTAATTGAAAACAGCATTAAAGAACTGTTCAGTATTCTACACTAATATTCACTGACTCCACATTGGCCATGTGGGAGAGGGACCTAATAAAGGTTACATAATCAAAAGATTTGGAAGCTGCAGGCCTATTGTCTGCTGTTCATATGCAGGCATCTTGTTTTGTCTATGTAAACAGCAGACCTGGAGCCCATTAAAGGTTTGGAAATTCAGACAGACCATTTTGGTCAAAGAGTCAGAACAGCATAGATTAGGCTAGCAGTAAAGGCCACTGAAAACAAAGCCATATGGATTTAGGAGACATCTGGGTGGTTTTCTGGAAAGAGAGGGAAATGCTGGGGGCTGGCAATCAAACAGTGACAAAGTATAGAGATGGTACAAAGAGAAATTTCAAGGGAATCGCTTTAAAGCTAAGTAGCATTTTTCTGTCTAATGCTGCTTTGCGTTTTCACTACCTACATACAACTGATTCATATAGAATTTGGACGTTTCTTTCTAAGAACCAAACACTGGTGAAAATACTCTCTCTAAAAAATTCCAGAGCTACCCATTACCAAAATGCCTTGACAAGTTAGGGATACACTGATACGCCTCAAAGAGGTCTGAAAAATCCACAGCCCAGAGAGGTAGAGCTATGCTGGTCTAAGCCCCAGTATAGCACATCGGCCTAGCAACCACCTCTTGGGAAGATGAATTAACTTCAGTGACTGAACTTACTGAACCCTTCCCATCAACATAGATAGTGTCTTTGCTAAAGCACTAGAATGCTGCGGTTGTGGTGCTGTAGCATTTCCAGTGTATTCATTTTTCAAGGTATCAAATGTGATAACAAGGAGCAACAGATTCTCTTCGGCAAATGAAAACGTTAGAAAGTTTTCGACTGTCCTTTTTCAAAACAAATCCTTTGACCTGTTTTATGTACAGACAATGACATCTCTGGGCCACATGATTCCCCCAATAACTGTGCACAAAAGGGCCCTTCTGTTTGCTCATGGAAAGGGGAACTCAGCCACTTTCTTCTAATTCAGGGATATAGGCCAACAGAGAAGACAAATTGTGTGGGAAGTGGATGAACCAGGACTGCTGGGGGATCCCACTCACTCTGAGGTGGGATTTTCCTTTACACCATCAAATACAGCATTCTGTGGCCATTCTTATGTTTCATTCTCATTTTTTCATTCTCTAATTACATCACATTTAAAATCATTCCCATTATTAACTTATTGTATTGATCAACCTACCTGAAGGAATAATGAAAGACTCTAAAGTGGCATTTCCTTTTTTACAAATATAGCCAAGTTTCTGATCACATTCCCGGTTTTCCCATTTAGCACCTTTTCCAGGATTCAAGGCTCCACAAGTTTTTCCAGGCTCTGGGGAGGGACTTCCTTTGAAAAAATAGACAGAAAACCAGAGAACATTCCTGTAAGCAAATCACTATCTAAAGAAAACATTTTTGTGGCCCTTAGTCTGTAATTCTTTGTGATTTCATTCCCATACTGTTTTACCAACAATAATAATCAGGGGTCAAGATAATTAAAAAAACACAGACATAATATCCCTATCACTCCAACAAACCATTTCTCTTGCTATTTTGAATAGCAATGACATTAACAATGCAGACTCCTAGATAATCACTAGAATCCAGAGTAAATAGCTAATTGAACTGCAAGAGGGTGTTCACATCACTCAGAGCTACTCTTTCAGGATGTCTGCATACTCAGATTTTTAATCGGTTTAGATTCTGACGCTTTTCTTTTCAACTATAAATGGTTAGGTTCTTGGGGGGGGGGGGTTCCCCCTTTCCAAATAGAGAATGCATAGACTCTGGAGCACAAAGTGCAAGCTTCCAGATCCAGGGAAAAGGACTAGTTCAATGAGATGCAGTGGACTGTTTAAATCCAGGATTTGACTATTTCTATAAAGAGTTGGTAGGTAATTAGTTAGTTGGCTGCAAAAACTGATGCTAATCTGAAAAGTTGTTAGGATTGGAAGTTTTATTCTTTTTATATTTCTTATTTTAGGTATAATAATATAGTAGTAATGTAGCAATAATATAGCAATATAAGGCATATATATATTAACATACAAATTAAAGCCCTTTCAGTTGAAGGTCTATTTTCTTTGTTCTGAAGTTAGTAAATGTTCTAAAGTAGAAAAACAGTTCTGGGTATTGTGGCTGTGTTAATAAGATCAGAGGAATTCTGCTAATGTTGAATGCCAAGCTTTAATTGTTCAATTTACAACGCTTTCGCTTTGCCATGCAGATCTGCAACCTCAGAAAGTTGTGTGTATGTTAGGAGTATGAATGTGTCAAGATAAGATGCAAAGTTATATGACTTTAGAACCAGATGGCCAAAGAAGGGGGGTGACTGAGCATGGGCAAGGCCAGAGCATGAGACAACCTGGCTGCAGAGGAGCCATCTATAACCACCGGTGTATACCCACTACTCACAAGAAGATTGGATAATTGGCAGATTGACAACCTTAAAGTGGAGCAAGCACCCCGAAAGGACATTGATTACAGGATGAACCTTCAAGAGATGTTTGGGAAAAATTGACATCAACAAGATAACATTCCGGTCACAAGCTGACAGAGCGGGATCCATGGATTTTAACAGAGAAGAAGGATTATATAAAGCAGGGTGCTTTGCTATGGAACTTTGGGTTTCGTCTTGCCAAGACACCATCCCGAGAGGAGCACCAACCGACAAAGGCCCCGCTCCCCCTTGCGTTAGATCTAGCTGGCCACTAGATTGACACAGACTCTGGACTGGTAACTATATCATCTGGCAGAACTGTGAATGCATGATGTTTTGTGTGAGAGAGAGAGAGAGAGAGATTGAAAAGCATATGCAACTGTTGTATTCTCAATAAAGGCAGCGTACTGCCTTTCCCCCCCATAAAAGATCTTGTGTGCTTCATTTAAGCATAACAAAGTGGCTTGCAACTTTGTCCAAACAAATGACAATAACAGGATATTTGTGCTAGAAGCTGACAAGGCACTTCCAGGAAGAAAAGGGAAGTGGAGGGAGAGAACCCTATAGGAAAAAATAGTAACCTATAATGACTAAACCACTATGGTAAGATAAAGTTTTCCTGGATCTGCGTTAATATTATTACACTAATCCTGTTTTTCTGTTCAGCCTTTATATACAAAAGGCTATGTATGCAAATGGATACCCATAGAGTTCATATATCACAGCAAAGCAATACTTTTTAGTGTGTAAGAATGCTCCACTGAAATTGTTTGTTATTGCTGTTATTTTTTTATTACAATATTTAGTTTAGTAGTAGTATTTTCATTTATATGATGCCAGTCCCCCTAGGATGGGAGTGTCATTATCAAAATGTAAACTAAAAGTCAGTAATTTAATAAATGGGAAAATTCAACTAAAACTGGTTCTTAGTCTACAAATGGCACAGGCTGTCTATATGTTGTCATCTTACCACATAGTGAATGTTTTTCATTATGGTGGGTGTATGGTTTTAGGGGAGACTGGAGGGAAGGTTGGACAAGCTGCTACTAACCCTCCTACAAACACATATAGTAGATGCAAATCTGACTCCCTTTCTTGGTTCACCTCTGTCTCAGGCAATGAAAGCCTTCCTCCAACCTAGGTGAGGCTGGTATGTAAATTCTTTTTGTGGGGCACACTGGGCATAACATCCTGGATAGCCCCTGCATTCAATATAACTAGCAGAGAGTTTCTTGCACTGGCTGTCTGTATGAAAGGTGAATTTTAATCTTTAGAAATATTTATTCCATTCTCCCCTACTGTACACCTCACCTCCTGCATAACACGTGCTAAAGAATTTCATTTAGTGAACTTAATATTTTCACAATGCTTGAAATAAAGTGCTTCCATGCCCTACTGTTTTGTGTAATGAAATGCCCTGGAACATATTTATGTTTTAAAAATTAAGTCCTATATTCATACAGAAGACCCAAGTATAGGCTGAGCCTCTCTAGACCTGCACCCTCAGGACCTAACCAGTGCCGAACCGGAAAATTTGCCCGATCTCTGGAGGTCAATCTTGTTTAGCAGCATTACAAACACTTCCTATCCTTACTAGGCTCTTATAAGACATTTATGGTTTTATTAGAGCTAAGTAACAGCACAGAACAAAGAGTCAAGACTGTTGTCTGTAAACAAACTTTACAGGACTATGGAAAAGTTGGTCACACCCACAATAAGTGGCCATTTTGCTAACAAAAATCATGCCAGACCACAGATGTTGCCGTACCAGAGAGGTTCAATTTGTATTTTAAAAAAGAAGTAAAAATGTACAAGCAACGTTTTCTTAACTAGATGGTTCAAAATTTTCTATGAAGCATCAGTGTTTCGATGTGCCTAATATGAGACACACAATATGTCATTTGGGAAATGTAGATGCTATATGAACAAAATGTAAATGCCATTAAGCTTTTAAATACTTTTCTAAGTTTAGAATCTATGTTAATAATTCAAAGATAAAAATAGATAAGTGAAGAATTCTGTTCTTGATAAACATGAGATCTGTTGCATGTCCACATTCAGTTCCATTTAACACAAGTTAAACAAGTTCCATCCTATAGGAAGAGTAGAATACAAGAGCTGAAATCTACTACGTTGACCTGATAGCAAAATTATGCCTCTAAAATTGATTACCAAATTGACTTGTACTTACCTGGAACCCAGTTTAAGTATCTGAAAGGGCTGCCACCACTCCATTGCCATCCACTGTTGAAATTCAAACTGTTAAGACCAAACCAGAGTGAAGAACTCAAAGTGCTAGTTAATCCTAGACAACCAGGAGAAATACAGAAAAGGGTTACCATTGGGGTGCAACACAACAGCAGATGCTATGCTATTCCAGTCTATGGAGTAGTGGCTTTAGACAGGGGCCCTGTTACAGCTTCTCAGGCTGCCAGTCACTTCAGAGCTTGAATTCCATCCACTCCCATTCCCCACTTCATGCCCTGCACAAAGCCTGACTATTCAGAATTTGTATCGATCAAGTCAGTTTGATAGCAAATTATTTGGCAGCATGGGAAGTTTAAGCAGTGAGGGCACTTACAGTTCATTCTAACATTAGTGCTGTTACTGAACCCAGCAGTATTCCTAATTTTAAGTACAGGAAATTTTGCTAAAATAAGTCACACACATAAAACCAAGTGAGTTTTATAAGTGTGCCTACTATGAACATGCACAAGGAGATAAGACTAACCACATTACTGTTGACACTATAAAATGCTAAATTTATGTTAATACTCATTAGGGTTCCACAATATAAATCACAAGAGGTCAGAAATGTAAGAGTTAATATTCTGCCAGCAAATATTAACTCATCTACTTGCACAGCCTACATCAGTTTTGGTACTTCATGACGAACAGTAATGAATTACTCTACATATTTAAAGAGCTTAAGGTATATAATCTATTGTAACATGCAAAAATACTATTAATATTTTATCCAGTGACATTTCAAATAATCCAGGTGTTGTCTTCTTCTGGTTGTCTTACAGCCTTCTTCTCTTTCATCTGCTGCCAACTCTGCAACCATTTGTTTGCTACTGATCAAATCAATAATACTAGTCAACTTTCAGATTATGATCATAATCTCAAAAACACTCATATACCTAACTAACTTCCTGAATGAGTAGTCCCACTGAATTCAAGTCAGAAGTACTCAAGTGAATTCAATGCGACTACTCATATGTGTAAGCATTAGCAAATTTAGAACCTATTATTCTATAGTTTATGTTTTGCTTCTCTTTTAGACTTTGGAAAGTTACTTGACTGATTATTGAATATCACATTTTAACACAGAGCTTTACAGGTCTCAAAAAAAAAAAAAAAAAACCAATGCACTGATATGCATCACTTATTTCAGCTTTACCAATAGTATAGGATCTCAATGACAGAATATCTAGAACAAAATGCCTTTGATGCTGTTAAATTTAAATATGCAAATTAAATATGCGCTACATGGTATGATGCAAGGCTCCTTTATATTCTCTAGTCTAAGGCCAGGTTTACACTACGGGAGAAAGTTGACCCAAGATACGCAACTCCAGCTACAAGAATAGCATTGCTGGAGTTGACGTACTTTAGGTCGAATTTCTGCAGTGTCCCCACTGTGGGAGATCAAGGGAGAAACTCTTTTATCAACTTCCCTTACTCCTCATGACCCAGTGAAGTACCAGGGTTGATTGGGGTGCCATCAGCGGTCAAGTTAGTGGGTCCTTACTAGACCCGCTAAATTGAACCATGGGAGATCGATCTCTGGAGCATCAATTTCAGGGTAAGTGAAGGCAAGCCATAAAAAAACCCAGTGGTTGAATATACCAGTAGAGTGATGAAATCTGAAGGGGTTATGCAAGTCTATAACTTAATATATCATGAAGCCCTGTAGGTCCTATGCCATGATTTCTGTGCTTGACTGGATTTTTAACTTGAAAAAACTAAAGCTTGAGGGAAAATATGCTATACATATTATTGGATATGGTTACTAAAAAAAATTATATTTTTCTATGCTTAAAATAAGGAAGACACACTTTATAGCACAAGAAAATTTGCCCTTTATCGTGACATGCTCAAAATATCTTATTTATCTCAGTATTATGAGGATGAACAAATATGCATAAAATCATTTCAAGATAGAGTGAGCTATACAAGCATTATAGTTACAATATACAGAATAAAAAACACCTGCTGCATTTGCAGTAGTAATAATTTAATTACTCTACCTGCCAAGTATGTTTGCTCATGCAACTCTGTGATACTTAATAATTCTGCATTCTGTTGCTGACAGCTTTTCCTTGCCTGGTGCCACATTAGAACTGATTGGGAGTTTATCTGGTAGTGGACTCCTGTCAATGGGTCTGTATTCCACAGAGTGTCAATATCTTTAACTGTAGTAGAAAAATAAGATATGTTGTTGTTTATTACTATGAATGATGCAAATGAAATGTAGAATAAATTGTGGCGACTAAGCATATAAATGCCACTGTTGTAGTACAGGACCAGATCTAAAGTGCTCTGAGGCCCACAGGTGAATTTTTATATATTCTATAGCTAAGCCATGACAGTATATCTGACTGAACTGCTCATTACATGTAATAGGCCACTCTCATCCAACTCCTCAGGCAATGTAAAGCCCCTGTCTAGGTGTGAACATGACCAGCTAAAATCATGCTAAAGAAGTTAGCCTGCATCAACATGAGGGAAAAGATTGAGTTTAGGGTGGGCTTATTTTGTAGGGTAAGCTAAGGCCAACCTCAACTCTACCACTTTTCCAAGTCAAGCCAAAGTCTCTGGATGGCAGGACAGAGTAGAAACTAATGGGTTATACCACTTAACTTTTAATTTTCTCACACGGAATCTGCTTTTGAGTAATAAAATACTACCTTGCACTACTGTGCTGAAACTTCTGTCTCAAAAAGTTGAAACCTGTATGTTTTCTGCTGATCACAGAAAAAAAGAAAGTGTCCAAAGAGCTGAAATTCCTGCAGCATAAGTCAGAGATTCTCAGGTTGGAAACTGTGAAATATTTGAGAGAAAGGGGTCTTTTCCTCTCTCTATTCTCAGGAGAGTTCAGACAACTTTAGTGTGTGAATCACAGGAAACCATTACAATAAACAATACTCAAGACAAAGGAGAGTATATGCTAAGTGTCAAAAGGTCAGTAGCCAGTTCCACTTTTTCCTGTATTGGAGCTGACAGCCTATAGATACATAAAATCAATTATTTCAAATTAGCCTTACCCACTAGAAACAATAATATATATTGGGATATGCATTTTACTGGAAACAGTCCAAGATGGTGTAAGGACTAATCTCTTTAGTATAATATGTTCTGTTTAAAATAGCACAGAAAGTATTAGTTTTAGGTACCATGAAGATATTTGAAACAGAGCTTACATTACTATTTTTTCTTTTCAAAAGTTTGACACTGTGGCAGCCTGAGAGCAGAGAGCTGCAGAAGCCTGGTCCTTTTGCAGCCCAGGGAGGTGGACGGGCTAATGCCCCACATCTAAAGGACTTCCCCCCAGCCTACAGGGAGGGTCCATAGAGCCCAGAAAACCAACTAATTACTTGGAATGAATAGAGAGAAAATAGGGATGGGTGTGAGGGTCAAAGAACTAAAACAAGGAAACTGGATGGGGATACCAAGCAGAGAACTCTGGACAGCACCCACTGCCCCTCAAAAGAGCCAGTGGACGCCACTCAGTGGAACTCTGCCCAGATGTGTGAGCGGATGCAGGAATGGAAATAGGCCCAACAGTCGCAGGCCCCTCCCTCTGCCAACCTCTGCTTCCTGGTTTTATAAATTACCAGTTTGGCGATAGCCAGGAGGAGGCTGACCAGGAGGTTCCATGACTTAGTGGGGCTATGGATGGGGTGTGCTTAAATTAGTAGGTGAGGGGAAAAGTGCAGCCAGAACCTCAACAAGAGGTTCTGGGGGAGCCAAAAGAGGGGCTGTAACCTGGCACACTCAAGGTAGACATGTGCCAGGGTCTCCCTCACGCCACAGAAGGTGCAAGTGTTGGGAACAAGGGTGAACCATGCCAAGTACATGCCCATGCTCACAGCACCATGAAGGACTCTCCAACTGATGTACCTGGGCCATGGAACCAAGGTGGAATAGAGACTGCCCCCCCTGGGGGTTCCACCTCACCCTACTGGAGGGAGGAGGTCCCGCTACTTGATATCTGGGGAGGACATGATGGTGGGGAAGTGGAGCGTGTGAAGCATGAGCGTCTACAGATGACTGTTTGGCGCAGTTCAGAAGGGGACCGGCTGCAACGCATGCAGCCAGCTCGGGTGCTGAGGTGGAGGTGGTTGGGAAGGTACACAGGGTTGGGGGCTGATGGAGACATCAGCAGGGCCAGGGGTGAGGGATGGCAGGGTGCACCCTCTCTCAGGACCCTTTCGAGAGAAAGCTGAGCAGTGGGTGGCAAAGTGTCCTTCATCTCCAGAAGTACACACCAGGGAGTAAGTAGGGTGGAGAGCCCTATTTACTGGGCAAGCGCCGGAGGATCCACCCAGTCTCCCCAGTCGCAGTCCAGGAGGTCTCCGATCCTGGTGACTTCTGCCAGGACCAACCTTTGGTGCATTAAGGGGGACTCTGCTGCCTGCACATGTAGATGGGGATTGTGTAGCAGGGACTCTGCGAAGAGGTCTGCCCCCATGGTGGCTCCCAAGGACCTGGTCGCTGAAAGCAGCTTCCAGGTCCAGAGGAGGTCCTGGGAGAAGGCTGGCAGCTCAGAGAGGTCTCTCAGAAGACCTCTCAAATATCAGAGCCCTCGGAAGCAGCAAAGGAAAGCGTGCGCCATCATGCTCCACACTGGACTACCTGCATCAAATAGGAGCCTTTGCAGGATCTGAAGGTGGAGGACATGGACCTGTGTGTGCAAACACGTGTGGCCCTGCACTCTATCCTCCAGTGGGAGATAGAGAACTCCTGCAAAGACCCAATGCCGTCCTGGCCAGAAGAACCGCAGCGTCAGCTGCTGCATCTGAGCCAGGAAACCCAGGGTCAGGACCAGGGTGTTGAGACGGTGCCAGAGCATGGACAGGACCAGTTGGTTAAGCACCAGTACCCTCCCACGCAGGGAGAGGCACCAGAGCAGTCCCGTCCATCTCCACAACCATTCAGCTACTCTGGACTCTAAGCCTTGCCAGTTCGCCAGCAGAAGGGGATGCATAGCAGAGAGAAAAACGCCAAGATAGAGCAGCAGACCAATGCTCCACCTGATGACCAGAAGCACTGATGGGAAGGAGCTCACCTGTCTCCCAGCCCTGACTACCAGGCCAGAGCTCTTGACCCAGCTGACACGGGCGGAGGAGGCCACCGAGTAAACGGCTTGGCAGGCCTCCCCCCAAGCCAGGTCACTTGGGTCCTGGACCATGATGAGCACATCATAATAAGCTTCCCTACAAAGAACATCAAGGCTGTTGAAAGTGGAAAATGTACAGTACAAATGTCATAACCACACCATTAATTTGCTAAATAATACACTACATTAGAAAGACTTTAAAACTTACACTTCAGTGGGCAAAATCCATACATACGGTCTTCATCAAAGTCTGCAGTTGTTCCACACCACAGCCAGCCATCTGATCTACCAGCATCTGTACACTCCGCATACCATTTGCTGTTAAACTTGAACGGGAATACACAGGGTGCTCCATTTGCGTTTCCTCGCAGTGTAAACATATCTAAGGAGATAGGATGAAAACAATTATGAAATATGGAACCCACATCTGCCCAAGTTTATGGATATAACAAGTAGACAGAATATCATGCCATAGAAGGTAATCTGTGCAAGCAAATTGTACTCAAACTTCCCATACCCTTTTCTATGACAAATTTCAGTTCAACAAGTTCTCGGTGTCAATAAAAAACTAAAAATTGTCACTGAACAGAATTAACCAAGCAGTCCTATCTTAAAATTTAAAAGTACATTATTAAGTATACATATAGTCAGTAGGGCTCAGGTATTATATCCAATTAAACAGTAATAATTACAGTACGGTAACACAAATTACATTTTTTCTATGGACGTTTAGTAAGCCAAATCCTGAAGTCCTTACCAGGCACAACTCCTTTAAAAATTAATGGGAATTGTATCTGAGAATAACAGAATTTGGGCCATTACTGTGTATTGAGTAGACCCTTCCCAATTTATTATTACATGTATCATCCTCAAATCTAATCAATAAGGATATGTCTACACTACCCCGCTAGTTCGAACTAGGAGGGTAATGTTGGCATACCGCACTTGCAAATGAAGCCCGGGATTTGAATTTCCCGGGCTTCATTTGCATAAGCGGGGAGCCGCCATTTTTAAAACCTCGCTGGTTCGAACCCCGTGCAGCGCGGCTACACGGGGCACTAACTAGGTAGTTCGGACTAGGAAGCCTAGTTCGAACTACCTAGTTCATGCCCCATTTAGCCACGCTGCACGGGGTTCGAACCAGCGGGGTTTTAAAAATGGCGCCTCCCCGCTTATGCAAATGAAGCCCGGGAAATTCAAATCCCGGGCTTCATTTGCAAGTGCGGTATGCCAACATTACCCTCCTAGTTCGAACTAGCGGGGTAGTGTAGACATATCCTTATTGATTAGATTTGAGGATGATACATGTAATAATAAATTGGGAAGGGTCTACTCAATACACAGTAATGGCCCAAATTCTGTTATTCTCAGATACAATTCCCATTAATTTTTAAAGGAGTTGTGCCTGGTAAGGACTTCAGGATTTGGCTTACTAAACTCAATGAATAAATAGGGATGGTGTGTGTTTGGTTTGTACACAGTCCTGCATTGCGAGAGAGACACAACAGCAGTATGGGAGAGACTGTTTCTCAGGAAGTGTAATCTCTCCCAGAGCATCCTGGTTTGCACTTGAGGACCAAGAGTCAATTGCATAGGGATGGTGGGGTGTTGACCTCAGCTCCTTCCTTCCAGCTTTCAAGGAATTTGCTTGCTAGGGCTTCAATTGCCTGGCCTAGGGATTGCTACTGTGATCAAGCCATGAAAGGGCAGCTTCTTACATGCCCCTTCCCTGTGTGCCCATCAAAAACTGATCAGTCTGGTCCATAATAATTCATGTGTTCAAAATTTTTATAGAAGCATTTATATAAAAAAAAGCATACAGGCAGTCCCCGAGTTACGCGGATCCGACTTATGTTGGATCCGCAGTTACGAACGGGGCTTTTCTCGCCCCGGAAGACGGGAGCGGCGGGATGCCCAGATGCACCGCGGTCCGCCACCCCTGTCCTCCGGGGTGAGAAAAGCTGCTCCCCGTCTCCCTGGTCTGCAGGAAGACGGGGAGCAAAGCCTTGGAGCACGCCCGCAGCGGAACAGCCCGGGCGCGCTTGAGCTGTCCCCCTGCGGGCGTGCTCCGAGGCTTTGCTCCCAGTCTCCCGACCAGCAGACCAGGGAGATGGGGAGCAAAGCCTCGGAGCACGCCGAAGGCGGGGAGCAAAGCCTTGGAGCACGCCCGCAGCGGAACAGCCCGGGCGCGCTTGAGCTGTCCCCCTGCGGGCGTGCTCCGAGGCTTTGCTCCCAG